TCTCTTAAAAACAACAGCAACAACAGCAAAAAAAACCCTCTGTGAAGAGAAAAATCAATTTTCATAACTGAGAATGGGATTTTAATTTGCAAATAAATGCCCTTAAAGAGAATGTTCTTTATTTGACGTGCTTGTGAAGTGGATTGAAAAAAAAAAAGGCCAAAGGCATGAAAAGGCCACAGTCCACATGTATCCTTAGTTAGGATTTACTCATTATCACACGTTATGAATGGATTTCATAAGCTTGTCATTAGTGTCAGTGCATAAAATCTAGTCATGTTACGCTAAATTTTATTTGCATTTCGCATGTTATGCTGCCTGAAAATTTGGACCCTGGGAAAAATAGTTCTGTGGAACCAGAGCTGCTCTGTCTGGACCGGGACCTCAGCCGAAGCTCAAAAGAGGAGGGCTCTGTGTGGGCTGGTTCTGTATAGAAAGTTACCGGTTTCCTTTGGGGAAGTCTGAGGTTGTGAGGCTTGGAGGCACCCCCAAGCCATTTGTAAGCAGTCCCAACACAGGGTAGATGAAGTGGTTTCATTTTTTTAACCATTTAATTAACTTTGACTTTTTGAAAACAAATGACTTCAATGAAGCTGAAATGCCCGCTCCACGCATCTGTCCCCCGCTCCCAACTAATATCCAGCCCCAGTATCGTATCAGAGCTGTGAGCAAGAAGACTCTTCGGAAATCTCAGCTGATACGCCTGCCCTGAAAGCTGGCCCTCCTTTTTATGCATTTATGGGAAAGTTTCAGACAGGCAGTCACATGCACACACAGCTCCGTAAGGTCCTACGCAGCTTATTTGGCTCAAGTGTACGTACGTCTAAGTTCGAACAGGTCAGTGGAGGACATCTTAATTCAAATGTCTGTGGCTCCCTAATAGCCTGACCACCCTTTAAATACGTGTGTAGTTAAGTGTAGTGTGACCCCCATCCGATCACTCAGGGAGGCAAGGAAATGGATTCTCCATCCGGAGGGCAGCCTGCTGCGAGGGCCAGAGCTGCGTTTCCAGCTCCACAATGGAAGTAGTTCATCTCTCTTTTTGGGGTGGACTAGACATACCTCTCAGAAAGTTTATTTTTAAGGCCTTAAAGTGTTGTGACACAAAACAGTTAATTCCTGCAAATGCCGTCTGAACACATGGCAGGCACTAAAAAATGATGATTGAATCAATGGAGAATTTATTATCTTGTGAAATTTTTAAAATGCCCACATTGGCCCCATTTTATTCTGGTCATTTAAAAATGGAGGTTTTTCTTGTTTGGGATTACGGGTTTTTCTAAACCTCTGAGCCTCCCTTACGCTGTTTCCGGCCCTCCCTGGCTTGGTGTGACGCCCTCTCGAACCCTAACCAGGGAGTGTGACTTGGCGCTGGGAAGCGGGGGCACCTAGGCTGCTCTCACCGCCGCATTCCTTTTACAATTTACTGCTTCATCTGTTGTTTCTTTTTTCAACTTAAAGTGCTCGTGCTTCTTTATTTATGGTTAATTATGCCCAATTAAGTTTTCTTCTTTCTCTACTGGATTCTCGGAATTGTCCCAAGTTTTAGGGGGAAAAATTGATTAGCCCCATTTCTACTGGTGTCCCCTGAGCCCTGTGCTTGAATACAATGAGGTCACTTTGTTGAAGGATTAACTTTATATTACATTCTTGCAGGGTAGATGTATGTCCCTAAGGTACCACTACCCCCACTGAGGAAATAAATATACCATTCTTTATGATTCCTCCCTGTTACCTTCTCTGTTGATTTTCAGAGAGTTTATGAATAGTCACATATTTATACAACTGGCCAAAAGTATACTACTTATTTTTCTTATGGTCTGTAATAACCTATGCAAGGTTATTAAAGGGTATACAGACCCCTTTTAAGGCATAGTTTCTTATGTCATTACTTTATACAAGCAGGTCAAATTCCATCTTGGCAATAATCTCTTGCTCCTAACCTTTTTCTTTGATTATAAAAGTAATATATGTTCATTGTGGAAAATGTAGAGAATGCACAGCACAAAGAGAAGGAAGAAAAAGCATTTTAAGGCCCTCTTTTAGAAACAACCACGGTTAGGCAGTTTCCACAAAGACGCATTTTCTTCGTTCTCTGTGTTTGTTTTTTTAAAAAGTAACCATATTGTACATGTGTTCCTGGGAGCTGCTTTTTAACCTCGCCATGTATTATGTCAGTAAATCCTTTGTTCCCTGTGGCATTGCTTTTGAGGACTGCATCATATTCCATAGACATTTCATCTGTTTTCAGGTTGTTTTTTTAAAAGAATCTTTATCAGATGCTTGCTCCCACTCAGTAATTGGTTTATTTTTTTCCTCTAGTCAACACAGTCAGAAAAGTCGTCAGACACCTTTGAATTTAGGGCAGCGAGCTTTGTCTTGCCTATCTTTAGTGTTATCTTTGTGTACAGCACTGGACAATGGCAGTGAGCGAGTCAATAGCTAAATTGAGGGCGGATTAACATATTTAAAGATTTGAGCATAGAGCAAGTCATAAAGGCATGGGAAACAAAAGCCCGTGTCTTACTATCTGAAACATTTTCTCCAACATAGTATACTTCCATAGAGTAGATGCCTATTTTCCTTTGAATAATGAGTTTAATATACCTAATTCAATTATTCTTTGTGTCAGCACAACGGCTTCTCCTCAGCTCTTTGGCTATTAGTTCCATGTGATATTTGAATCGGTTCTTTTAATTGCAGATACGAAGTGTCAGTCATTCTGCTGTGTGTTGGCCGAATGGCCAGGGAAACACAGCCCCCTTCCCATCGATCAGACAGTCATTCAATTAGCAACCACAGTTCCTCACACAGTAGGAATTCATTTGTTAGGCAGGCAACTGAAGGGGCGGGTCAGCAACTCAAATTTTATTAGTGGCTGAGACCGAAAAATAAAGCCAAGAATTGAAAACTTCAGGATGCTAAACTGTGTCTTCAGATATTAAAGTGATGCATTTAATTGCCTACAGCTCTTTTTATGGCTCAACTTCTTGGCTGGCAATTCGTATGGCGGGTGGGGGAAGGATGTGCTGTGTAACAAACCCAGGTGCTCGTTCCTGTCACCCTCGTGTATTTCTTGATTAAATCCCCTGTATTTCATGAGCAATAGCTTCCCTGCACAAAGACTCCTGTGCCTTTTTCTTTACAAGTCTAATTTGAAAAAAGAATTCTTCTCAAGGGTTTAGAAAGTAATCATAAAATGAGAAGAATAATAAATATTGTGCCTTAACACATATACTAGCATAGATAGAAAGATTTGGTACACCTGGGTGTAATTTTAGTTAATTTCCATAAAAGACAGGTTGAAAGTTTACTGTTCTGGAAGTGGGGGGGGGGGAGGCATGGCTACATCTCATATTTGCAAAAATGATTACATTATCTGAAATGAAAATGCTATTCTATTAACAACTTCAATAAGCATTGCATTTAGGGAAAAAAAATCTTTTTAATAAAAAGTTACCTAAGTTCGCTTTAACTTAAAATACACAAGTGAGGAAAAAGTACTTACTCTGATTTATGTGTCTTTTGGAGGTGTAATTATTGGCTTTTTACTCACCTATGTAAAACAATGTACTTTTGTAAATGGATTTCTGGCCACTTTATGCAGACTTCTCCCCCCACCCCCTATTTTTTTTCTTACATAAAAAGTAAGCACTGTCAATCAAGGAATTTTAAGGTTTATTTCCTCTTTAGAAATGATTGATAGCCTTTTAGATTTACAAGTTGACAAGTTAAAGGGTTCTATTGGTATAATTATGTACTAAATTCACAGTCTTTCAATTTAAATGTCCTTTTAAAACCACGAGATTATCATACCTGTATTTTGAAAAGCGGGCCAGTCAGTTTGGGTTGGTACACAAATTGCTGCCATTAGCCTCGGGACCTATTTGAATTTAATACGGTTTTTTAAAGTTAGTAGTAGTATGAATCTTACTTTTAAAATTTAGGTTAATGGAAAGTCATTTTAAGCAAAGCATGTGGCAACTTGTTTTCTAATGTATAGCTAAATCTCAGAACTACAAAAACTGTCTTTTTTTATTCAGTACGGGAGAAAATACGCAGTTGAACACTTTGGTTACACTAAAAAAGAGAAGTAGAAAAGCACCCACCCGCCCGTTACTTAGAAGACAGGAGGGGCACGGGTGGAGGACGGAGCTGCCATCTTTTCCTTATTGGGGGAAGAAGGCTGATGATATTTTAGATCCTGGAGAGGAAATTTGAGAATGACGGACCAGCGTCCACTTTGCACGTGTATTGCGGTTGCTCTAAGGAAGCTTCAGGAGGGTGCCGTCAATGCGGGTACTGCAAGGCTCATTGTCTCCGCCTGTCATGACAGGGTCGCTCTTCAGTCTTTGTGTGAATTCTTGGAGACCCAGCTGCTCTAAGCTAGTGCTCCACAGAGGCTGGTCTTTTTCCCGAAATAATACTGATGTTGATGAACCAGTCTGTCATTTTAGATGCGAGGGTGTCGTATAAAGGTCATTTTCAGTGCCCAGCTCTTTGCTCCTCTCCAGACTCTTGTAGGCTTAATTGCCTCTGAAGGCACCGAGACATTGTATCAGCTGAGGTCCACAAGAGGTTTCCCAATGAAGCAAGCGCTTTTAACTCTCCTCCTTTTTATAATCTGCAGATACCCTCGGACAAGCTCTTGAGCATTTTGACCTCAGCTTTTGACTGAAGTGAACCCTAAAACCTCACATTAGATACCGCTTTACTTTCTATTTTCAATAATGTCAGGAATATAAAATTTGGCCTGAAGAGCAGAGTTCAGGACCTGCTACTACGTGGTCTTTTGAGCGAGTCACTCCCTACCACGGTCAGTAGCAGAAGTAAGATGGTGGTGACGCTCAGCAAAGGAAACATTCGTCTGATCATTTCAGGATCTAATTCAAAGGTTATCAGTTAAGCCTTAGACTTCCCGGCTACCACCGCACCATCAGTGTTGCAAATCACGTTCTGTTTCCTGAAACCGCTCTAATTGTGTGACTTCTCCATTGCAGCGCTCAACGAACCTACCATCGACTATGGTTTCCAGAGGTTACAGAAGGTCATTCCCCGGCACCCTGGAGATCCTGAGCGTTTGCCAAAGGTGAGGAAACCTCTTCTTTGGGTCACGGTCTCTGGAAACTCGCACTTGGGTGATTGGCAGGAAACTCTGCCACTGATAAAAATGAGTTCATAGATAAGCAACTCAGTATTTTTGTTCTTCGTGTGCTCAGTACTACAAGGTAAGTGATAATAAAAGTAGCAAATATTTATGCTGTGCCGGGTAATATTGTACATACTTTTACACTTTTTGTCATTTCTACCTCTCAAAAATCCCTCTGAGGCCGGCACTATTACCACCTCCGTTTTAGAGATGGGAATTATCAAGCAAAGAGGTTAAATCATTTGCCCAAGGTCACACAGTATGTAAATTGTTAAACTGAGATTTGTACCTAGATGGTCTGGCTCCAAAATCCAGGTTATTAATCACTACATCATCCAAGTTCTCAAGAGGAAAAAGAGCACTGCTTTTCTACCTACAGAAAAATTAATCCTTATCCCTGGTAAGGGGAGAACAAAAGAAAACACATTGGTAGATCTTGCATCTGGACAAATAAGACTCCTCCCACCAGAGGCATCCCATCCAACTGGGAGATGAGGTGAGAACCGAAACAAAAAGCCAAGGCAGAGGAACACATGTCATGCAGCGCACGTCATTAATTGCCAGTGTGAAAAGAAGGAAATTCTCAATTGCTGGCTTCTGTTCTGCACCTCTTGCCCATGTTGGGAATATTCCCATCTCTGTTCCCAAGGAGCCTGGGCCCTGGAGCCTGGGTGGGAGGCTCTCCAGATCCAACACCCCCTGTAGCAGGAAGAAAGGGTACATTTCGCCCCAGTCCAGTGAGGACTCAGAGGTGAGAACGGTGATAGGTGAGAACGGTGATGTGCAACGGGAGCTGGGATTCCAGGATTCGTGGAGCTACCGTTCACTGTTTACTGGCAGCAGACTGAAATTTCATTCACTACATACGTGGAAACTATTAGAAATTGAATGAGTAGATGAGAACCCCTCTCTTGGCTAAAGTATGTCTAGAGATAGGTCTGTTTCTCCTCGTATAGCACTGATAAAAGTGAGGTTGGCCTCCTTCCTCGCTCAGCTGACCCTTTGCGGGGAGCAGTCTGGCATCAGATTCTCCCTCTGCGCCTGCTGCCCGGGGAGGCAGAGCCTCCCGGCGGAACAGGCCCGGTCAGGAGACAGCGCGGGGGTCCGGTGGGGCGGGGGGTGCTGATGCCCAAAGAGAAGAAGGACCGTGACACACAAACACGTCCGCCCTCTGCCTAGACCCAGGGAAAGCAGCACAGCCTTTGGTCTCCCCCATCGGCTTCCCAGAGCAGCCCCCTTCCACCGAGCGCTGGTCACCTTGGTATAAACTTCTTGAAAGCTGTCACCTGAGGAGGAAGTGGGACGCTGTGTCTCTCTGTTCATATCCTTGTCTTGGGAAGGGGCCTCCATCTTATACATCCCTCCCTTTCACCTTGATTTATTCTTGGCGAGTGATTAAATAACCTAACAGCAATAGTGAATGGCACTCTGCTTCCATAGCATACATGCGCAGTGGAGAGATTTACCTTTGGGTTCCTCTGTCTAGCAAGAACCTAACTTCCATGCATTTCCTATGGGGCAGTATCTGGCCGTTTTATCGGTCATTTTCTAGCTTGATGATACAAATAGTGTGTGTCCCCTCGGTGGAGAGCGCCTTAGGTGCCTCGGTGGCGGGAGGAAGGCATGGGGGCGATGCCAGAGTCTTCCCATTGTTTCCATGTGGGGCTCATCGTCACTTTCCTTTTGACGTCTGCTGTCTCCAGAGTCTGTTGAAGGGACTGGAGGGGCAGGCCAGCCGGGGTGGCGTTCAGGGTGAGGGCACACGCAATGCAGAGTGGGTCAAGGTGACTGGCTCTGCAGCCCGGGTCAGAGTTCTTCGTTTAAAAAAATTCCGAGCAAAAGTCTTTACCTCTGAGCCTCAGTTTTCTTCTCTGTCAAATGGAGAGGGTGACATTTCCTACTCGTCTGGGTTGCCACTTACTGAGCACGCAACTAAAGGCAGCTACGATGATGTGCCGAAGAGCTAGAGTGGGCCCCTGGCTCCTGAGGCCTCTCCCCACCTTCTCAGCAGGGCAGGGAACCTGCATCCCGGCCAGCAGCTGAGTGCCTGACTTACCTTCTGTGCCTCAGTTTCTTCATTTATAAAATAGGGCCATGATCATGCTGACTTTAGGCGGATTACGGAGGATGAAAGGAGGTCATCCTGTGGGTGCCCACGGCGCAGTGTCTGGCCTACATAAGTAACTGTTGAAAAGCAGGAAGCAAATTTGGTTTCACCTGCACGAGGTCTAAAGAAGCCAGACAGCACTTTTCTTCTCTATACAGAAAGGAGACAAGTAGGCATACAGGGCTGAGTTTCATGGGCTTACTTTTAAAACCATTTTTGACGGTTGTACATCACGTTCAAAACCAGTGAACAAATAACCCAGGCACGTGTCGCTTCATCCCCGGTGGCCTGAGGGTGGAGTGCCCAGCCCTTTTGTCCTGGGTTTGGGACGAGTAATCAAGGACGCCGTGGACTTGTGTGTTGAGGAAACACTCCACAGCTTGCGGCTACCACTTGACCGTGCAAGTACGTGGCCAGAGCCCACCCCAGGAAGTCCTCTGTGTGACTCCGATCAGAGCGGCCGTCCTCTTGGCTCTGAATGTTAAGGTGGAGGGAGGGTTCAAGAGCAGGGTCAGGAAGTGGCGGATGGAGCCAGCACGAGCTATTCCTGTGGACTTGGGAGGCTTATCCTCTCGCTGTCCATTGTTAGGGGGAGAAAAAGGGGCTCCGCCTTTCTTAGGATCATGGTCAGTGTTTGTCAAACAGGAGTGTTTCACTGAGCCGTGGACCACACACCTTAAAAAACAAACTGCACTTTATTAAACCCATGTGTTTGTGAATAGACAAAGCTAGATTCATACAGCCACCCACATATTCTGTCAAATGAAACTGCTCCAAAGACCGAGCAGACAGCTTTCCATAATAATATGCCTTTGTATACTGGCTTGCGCTTTTTCAAAGAACTTATACAGGCTTTGTTTTATTGGGGCCCTTCTTGTGAGAGGGGCCAGGAAAGTGGGCCTCACTCCTGGTCGCCAATGAGAGAACGGGAGCGAGCCGGGTCCTTCTCTCTCAATTATTTTGTCCCTGAAAGTCACCATTAGTGATAGTTGCTGTGCACACACATTTAAAATACTGTAATTATGGTAACCCCAGATGTTGTTTGGTTTCCTTTTCCATATGCACACAGGGAAGGGCAGGCTAAGGTTTTTGAATCGCAGCATTCTGTTCTGTTTTGTACAGACCCGCCTGCCTTTCTCTCTCGATCCTGGCAAGAGGGGGAGGAACATGTGACCAACTTTGGGGTGAAGGTTGACTCTTCTTATAATGTCGAGGTGAGGGGGATGGGGACTGTGGTCAGTCAGAAGCTCAGAGGTGCTGAAATGCATAATGCTATCCAGACACATTGAGCAAGGGGCTCTCTCTGTGTTGCAGGCCAGAGGTGTCCCCTCCCCGTCCAGCCTGCTGGTTGTCTTCCGCAGCAGTCAGCGAGCATTAGCGCAAAGGCAGTGAGTGACGGGAGACCCCGAGTTAGCAGTGGATCCCGGGGGACAAGTAACGTTTAATTAATGCCTACTGTGTGCCCAGCATGGCTTTATCAAGGTTTTTGACAAACACCAAGGCCAAGAAGGAGAGTTTTCAGGTCACACAGACGTGGATTTTACAAACCAGGCCGACCACCCAGTGCTCTTGACTCAACCTTCCCAGCCTAGGTTTTCTCTTTCGTTGAAGCAGCTGCCCAGTGCTACTGGGCATTAATATGTAATTTATGCAAAGGGATCTCTCTGGCATTTAGCAAGATGTCAGTCAGCGGGGGCTACAAATGCCTGCACCGGGGGCGCCGCCCATTTCAGAAGAGCCAGGGTTCCCAGAGGGCTGGTGACTTGCTGCAGCTTCTCGGCCAGCATGTAGAAAACAGATTCGAACCCAGGTCTTCAGGGCCGTTATTCCCATGCACAGAGCTCCCTCTTTCCCCTTGCGTCTCACACCCACGTGAGTCCGCCGTGAGGGGCTGGCGCTGGTCTCTCCCCTGCCCCTCACCTGCACCCCCCCCACTCAGACTCTCTCCATTCTCTACTTCCCCACCGAGGGGGGTGGCATGGGGACCTCCACAGGGCAAACATGTTTTTTCTCCAAGAGCCGGTCCGTCTTTCGGAGAAAATAAAGCAGTTTGAGAAAAGTAACAAAGGCGGCATTTGTGTATTTTGCTTTATGGAGCTGAAAATATCTGGTAAATTGATCCAGTGGGAGTAATAAATACACATTACTTTATCTTGTTCTTCATGTCCTATACCCCTGAGCCTTGATGGAACAACAGCACTTAATAGACTTAAAAAAGAGTAATTACACTCATTGGTGGTGTGATTTTTCAGCCCTCCCAGCCCTGCCTGACCTTCTAATTTAGCTCACCGTGTCTAACTAATGCATTTATATTCATCTTTTATGAAGCATGTATAGTACAGAATTGACTTTAGAGCCTTTTTCGAGCTGCCCTCCCAGGTCTCCAGTCTGGTTAGCGTGCGGAGGGGAAGCGCTCCATCTCCATACGTTCGCTTGTACAGGTAACGTGTGTACCTGGCTCGCAGCGTTTTTTTTATCCTTTATGAAACATAATAAAAAGTATTTATTATATTTTTACTTTAAAGCTTTTATACATTCTAGCATTATTTACAGCTAAACATGCAGGCAAAAGATGCGAGTGTTTTTAAAATGATTACTGTTAATGTTTCTGCTTGTCAGAAGTGCTTAAATTTTCCTGCACTTTGTCTAAAAACTTAGTACTGTTGCCTTTTAAGAACAACACATTTAAAAGATCTTGCAAGTCAGATTTGCAAACACTGCTGACAGTTTGTGATGAATGATATTGCAAAATTTGCAAGATGTTTGTCATTTCGCACAGCCGAAATATTAAGGAATGGATTAGGAAATGCGAAACCCCCTATGGAAAACAACC